CTTGCAGGGACATGGATGAGCTCGAAGCTGTTATCCTCAGCAAACTAACACAGGAACAAAAAACCAAACACTGCATCTTCTCACTTATAAGTAGGAGCTGAATGATGAGAACACATAGACTTGGGGAGGGGAACAACAAACACTGGGGCCTGTTAGGGTCAGGAGGGAGAGCATCAAGATTAATAGCTAACACCTGCGGGGCTTAATATCTAGGTAATGGATTGATAGGTGCAGCAAACCATCATGGCACACGTTTACCTATGTAACAAACCTGCACGTCTCACACATGTAACCTAGACCTTAAGATAAAATAATTATTTTTTAAAAATTACCTTCTGTTTTAGCTTCTTAAACAGAATATCCATTTTCAGTTGATCTGTATTTAAGTCTCCATGGCAACTGAAGTCTTCATTTCCAAATACATTTAACATATTTATTGTCATTTCTAGGCATTTCTTATATCTGCAGAAATGTACAGATTTAGTAAGTCAATTATTTGTAAAAGTAAATAATAATTGTTTAAACAGATATTATGTTATGGCATATCAAAGAAACAAAGCTATAAACTGTGCTCCTCTCAGTTTCAACTGAACATAGTTTGAAAGCATTCTATATGAAATTATAATCTTAGATAAATAATATGCAGAACAATTTTATGGCATATATAGCAGGTGAAGTGATATTATAGCCATACAGTTTTGTATTTTTTTTGAGATGGAATTTCACTCTTGTTGCTCAGGCTGAAGTGCAATGGCATGATCTTGGCTCACTGCAACTTCTGCTTCCTGGTTTCAAGCAATTCTTCTGTCTCAGCCTCCCAAGTAGCTGGGATTACAGGCATGTGCTACCATGCCTGGCTCATTTTGTATTTTTAGTACAGATGGGGTTTCACCATGTTGGTCGGCTGGTTTCGAACTCCTGACCTCAAATGATCTACCTGCCTCAGCCTTCCAAATTGCTGGGATTACAGACCTGAGCCACGACACCTGGCCTAACCATACAGTTTTTTAATAAATAAACTATTCATATCCATTTTGGTATGCTAAGATAAAATGACCCATTAGTAAACATAAACCATAACCCAGAGATGAGTAACCAAGATAAAAAATGTAAAACACATATATGTTTGAAAAAGACACAAAAATACATTTTGATACCCGTTGACCACAGTTTATAAGAAGAAAAAAAAGTACACACAAAAGCATCAAGGAGATCATTCAATGTAGAGAAAGAGAAGTAAGGAAACATCTTTAATATCTGAGTTGAGAAAAAGAAAACAGGCAGTTTTAGAAAAAAGGAAAGGTGGAGACAGATATGTGATGATTTAAAGACTTTGAAGAAGAGATCTAGAGATCTTTACTGACATAATGTCAACAAAATGAAAGAGATACAAAACAATGTAGAGAAAGGCAATGACAGAAAAATGTTGATTAGAATCAGAGAACCAACTTAAGTGCTCAGTAAATAAATAGAAAAGTAGCTGTGTTCAGGGCTTCAAAGACACATTCCATTTTTTAAAAATAATCTGTTATCAAAATATGAATGCCCATTTTACTCTTTTTCTTTAGGTTATACATATATTTATATATAAATAATATTTATTTCTATAAAACAGAAGTTTAGTAAGATGTATACTTCATGTATACAAGGGAGGTACCCATGTAAAATGAGTAAATTTCCATATGTTTTATATCTAAAAGAAAAAGAAAGAAGCAGAAACAAAATACAAGCTATATATCAAGATAAATTTTGATGTTAAAGAATGATACGAAGAGGTCTTTAAAAAATTTGAATGCAGAAGAGAAGAATACTACGAAAGGAAGAAAACATGACCAAATACAGCAAAAATATCTTCAGAAATAAAAATTCAAACTAGATAATGAAGAGTGCACTTGACATTACATGTCCAAAGCGTTGTCATTTTTGTTTTCAAAACCATTAAACAATACGTCGCCAAGTGTAGTGGCTCATGCCAACTTTGGGAGGCCAAGGCAGGTGGATCATGAGATCAGGATTTTGAAACCAGCCTGACCAACATGGGGAAACACCGTCTCTACTAAAAATACAAAAATTCGCCAAGGGGGGTGGTGCACTCCTATAATCACAGCTACTCAGGAGGCTGAGGCAGGAGAATCACTTGAATCCAGGAGGTGGAGGTTGCAGTGAGCCAAGATCATGTCATTGCACTCCAGCTTGGCTGACAGAGCCAGACTCTGTCTCAAATAAATAAATAAATAAATAAATGAATAAATAAATAAATAAATAAATAAAAATAAGTGTAACATTTTGGCATTCAAAAACAATTTCAGATTGTGTTGTTTCTTTTTTTCACATATTTTTAATATAATTTTCTTTCATCCCAACCTCACCCCAGCAGCTCATCTGACTTCCGTCCCCTGTTTCTCCCCTTCCATTGGACTCTGTGACACATGATCTCATCCAGCGATCTATTTTTCACCACTTATTGTGTTTTTATGTTGAAATTTGATTTTTTAATAATTCCAACAAAAAAGTCCAAGGGGTCATGGGCTCCTGCTCGTATGCCTATAAAGTTGTGCTGTCAGTTTCTGAAATGCATTTTGAAATAGAATTCGTTCATGAAAATGCTGATATAAAATAAATTTGTGTCTAGGTTTTAGTCAAATAAAGATAGAATTAAACCAATTAATAAATGGTTAAAATGTTCTTCAATATGAAAACCATACCCGGTTGTCTCTTCTTCTAATTCATGATTTTTCTTTCTTATTTGATCCGCATTATACTCCAGTGATGATATTAACTCAAAAAATTTCCCGAATTCTTCATGTTTTCCTTCAGGCTTGAAAAAAAGTGTTTAAAATTATTTTTATAAAATCTAGAGACCTTCTTCTATCTTAAAAATATTATTTCTCATAAGTTGATGAGTAATATGTATTTAGGCAGGTGTATAAAATGCATTTTATAAACCTGATGCCAAGAAGGACAGATTTCAAAACTAGCCATTTTCTTAAAACAGCTAAAAATGATTCACACTTCCATCATTATCTTTTCTGAAGTTTAAATTACCAAAAATGTTTGTTAAAAATGAGAGTTTTTGCACATGAAATACTAAGGGTTAGTGAAATAAATTAAGAGTACTTATATTTACATTTTAGTTTTTAAAGATGCTCTAGAAACATTGTCATTAATAGTTTAAGATATTCCAAGTTAAATTACATCTTATTAAGATGATTTTTAGAAAACTCTTATCTAGTTCCCATTACATTTTTGATCCTCATCTATCTTCAGGCTGAGCTAAGTACTGTCATTCTCTGTACGTATTCACCTGTAGGTTTTAGGTGTCTTTTAACCATTTCTCTTCAAACGAAGTTTATTTTTTCTATAATAAACAAATAATAACTTTTGTCTACTTTTTGTGGCTTTTCTATTATCCTGTTTCTCCCCTTCCATTGGACTCTATGACACATGGTCTCATCCAGAGATCTATTTTTCATCACTTTTTGTACTGAAACTTGAGATAAACCAGTGTACGGCTCTTTAGAGCAAAACCTAGATAACAGACATCTGGGTTGCTTGGCAAAGGTCATGTGTAATTCTGAGTTATGAACCTGTCACAATTTAATTAATTGTTCTGCCTCTGTATCCTTGCTTTTGTACCACTGTAACTGTAAGCCTGCTTCAAGCTAGCCCACCCCCTTTTTGAAGTGTGTATAAAAGTCAAGTGCTGTCTTTGTTCTGGGCCCAGTTTGTCAGATGTTGAGTCTGCTGGGTCTGAGTGCACTCAATAAAGACATCCTCCTGTACACACCCCAAGGTCTCTCTCTGGTCCTCCTGATTCCTTAACAGCACAATCTCCACTCACCACAACCTCCACCTCCCGGGTTCAAGCGATTATCCTTCTCAGCCTCCCGAGCAGTTGGGATTACAGATGCCCACCACCTTGCCCAGCTAATTGTTTGTAGTTTTAGTAGAGATGGGGTTTCATGATGTTGGCCAGGCTGGCCTTGAACTCCTGACCTCATGATCCGCCCACCTCGGCCACCCAAAGTGCTGGGATTACAGGCATGAGCCACCATGCCCAGCTGCTACTCCTCTTTTTACACTCTCTCAGAACTCCTAAAATCTCAAAATGTTAACCCAGATTCCCTAATACACATTTCCAGCTCTGACCTTTTTACTGAGGCCTCTTCCTTCTAGTACACATATTGTAGACAATGTTGCCAACCACACGCTCATATATTGCTACTCGGTGCAGATTAGTTTAGTAGATAGTGAATCTTGTCTATTTTATGTTGATTCTTATTGATGTTACTTTGAGTATAGTGTTATTTTCTAATCTTGAAGGGGAACTGTCTCACCCTTAGGATATTGACCAGTATACTCTTTTCTTCTCTCTTTTTCTTTTCTTTCCTTTCCTTTCTTTCATCTCTCTTTCTTTTCTTCTCCCTTCCTTCCTTCCTTCCTTCCTTCCCTCCCTCCCTCCCTCTTTCTCTCTCTCTCTCTCTCCTTTCTGTCTTTCTTTCTTTTCTTTCTGTTTTTTGGACCACGGTACTTTGTCCTTTTTTTCTTTTTCTTTTTTTCTGAGATGGAGTCACACTCTGTCATCCAGGCTGGGGGCAGTGGTGCCACCTCTGCTCACTGCAACTTCCACCTCCTGGGTTCAAGTGATTCTCCTGCCTCAGCCTCCCAAGTAGCTGGGACTACAGTTGCACACCACCACGCCCAGCTAATTTTTGTATTTTTTAGTAGAGACAGGGTTTCACCATGTTGGCCAGGCTGTTCTTGTACTTCTGACCTCAGGTAACCCACCCACCTCAGCCTCCCAAAGTGTTGGGATTACAGGCGTCAGCCATGCTGCCCAGCCCTTTTTTTCTTTTATAATGAAAACCTTCCCATGAGAATCAGATTATCAATTGTTTGCCTTTGTTTCCCTCTAAAGAATTTCCTTTTCCATAGAGATATGGCATGATGAACATCTTGTTCTACAGTTTCTTTCTGGGGACACTCAACTATATCACTGGGAAGCTCCAGTCAAGTAGAGATCTCCCTTCTTCCTAATCGAGATTCTTCATCTCAAAATGGTGTCCACCAAATGTCTTATCCAGGTAGTCTCTTGCTTAGGAACTCATGAAATAAGCACCTTCAGGAGAAGTTAGAGGCTATTGATTGAGATGGTTTAAAGCTGTCCCTTATTATATGTTTTACTCCCAAGGCAGACATCAAGTGGCTAATAATTCTATGCCTGATGTCTAACTCAATTCTGTGGGAATCTATACAAAATATTTTATTTATGAGACAGAGTCTCGCTCTGTTACCCAGGCTGGAGTGCAGTGGCTTGATCACTGCTCACTGCAGCTTTGATATTCCAAGCTCAAGCGACCCTCCCACCACAGCCTCCCAATGTAGCTGGCATTACAGGCATGCACCACCATGCCTCAGTTAACTGTTAAATTTTTTTTTTTTTTGTAGAGACAGGGTCTCACTTATGTTGCTCTGGCTGGTCTCCAATTCCTGGGCTCAAGCACTGTTCTTGCCTCAGCCTCCCAAAGTGCTAGAATTACTGGCATGAGCCACCTCACCAACCAGGTGTTCCATGGAATGGTTTGAGAGGCAGTTCTACACAGAAGCCAGAAGGCCTGGGTCTGAATCCCAGCTCTACCAGATACTAGCTGTGTGACCTTGAGCAAATTAATTTTCTGTGTCTCTGGTTCTTTATCTATGAAATGGAGAGAATAATACACCTACTTCACTGGGATGTTGGGAAGATTAAACCAGGGACTGACATGAAGCACTTAGAAGGGTACATGGTGCATGGTGAGCTACAGATAAGATTTGCTTAGAAGCACTTAGAAGAGTCCATGTACATAGTGAACTACAGATAAGATTTGCTATTAGCATGGTAATTTTTACTTTTTTATATCTTGACAATTGTACACGTTAGGCAGGTGGCATTCCAATGGGAGTAGTCTCCTAGAGCTGCACTGAATCATTCTTCACACCACTGAAAGCGGCAGCAAATGGGGAGCGCATAATTTATAGCTTACTTTTCTCTCCATATGACTCAGTGGGCAACAGTCATGTACGTAGTACAATGTAAACAGCACCTCCTGGATTGAGTAGTACATAACCGACATGACCAGCAGAGACAGGCTGAGCCACGGAGCTGAAAACCCTGGACTCTATTGCTAAATCAAGGCTTCTGAATCAATTCCCTCCCAGAAGTTGTTGCTGTGGCACTGCTTTCACGAGTACTCTGCTGAGCGCTCGGATTAAGGGGCTGTGCTATCATTCATCAGACAAGCTGCACCCAGAACTGTTCAGCTGACAAACTGGCAACCATCCAGAAATACAGTTTTGGCTAAATAGTGAAGGAAGGCAAATTTAGATTCTTTTTTCATACTGAGAAAAACATGAGCATTTGATTGAACAATTCTCCTCTATTAGACTAATTGGTTTTAATTTCATATTTAATTGCTAAAAATACACTTAGAATAAAAGACTTACTGTGTTAATGTCTCAAAGAAGAAATCATTGGTATGGTATATTTTGTTCTATGCTAAAAGTTGCCAAGCTAAAGTATTTTCAATTTATACAAGGATAGGTGACACGCATGTCAGATATTATTTTCCCTTTAAGCAAATTTATGACGAGACAAAATTATCTTCCATCAAAAATAAAAGCCATGTCAAATTAAGGGCTAAGTTATTCTGCAGACTGGGCAACGGGTGCTGAGATATAAGGTCAGTGAGAGTCAGAACAGCCAGAGAAAGATTCCTGAAGAAGAAATTGCCTGCCAGGTCTGAATGAATGAGGCCAGATGAGCAGGAACTGAGAAGGCAGGAAGGACAGCATGGGTAAAACTGGGGCTGACATCTGCCCAATTAACGCTAGGATAAAGTCCAATGGCAGAGAAATAAAAACATACATCCATACAATAACCTGTAAGTGAATGTTCACAACAGCTGTTTTCATAATAGCCAAAAAGTGGAAACAACCTAAAGGTCCATCAGCTGACGAATGAATGGAAAACTGGTGTAGCCATGAAATAGACTATTATGAGACAATAAGAAGGAAGAAACTACTGATACGTGCTACAACATGGATAAAATTCTGAAAACATTCTGCTAAGTGAAAACAGCCAGTCAGAAAGGACTTCATATTGTATGACTCTATGTATATAAAATATGCAGACCATACACATCTATGGAGACAAAAGTGGACGGTGGTTGCCTATAACTGGGGTAGGTGGAGAGACATGGGGTAGGGGTAGGTGGAGAGACGTGGAGAGGGGTTGCAGTCATGGCTAAGAGATGTGGGGTTGCTTTTCAGAGTGGCGAAAATGTTCTAGCATTGATTGTGCTGATGATTACACAATGCTGTGAATATACTAACAGACACTGAGTCGTACATTTCAAATGGTTGAACTGTCTGACATGTGAATTATCTCTCAGTGAAACTGTTTTTAAAATCCCATGGTAGGATCAAGAAAATTTTCTCAGCTATTTTGGATGTACATGCTCTATCAGATCTGAGTATTTCTATGCCATTACAGTATATTTTAAATGAAATGAAGATGAAGACAATGCCTAACTTTTCAAATAGTTTGTAAATTAACCTAAAACGTGTGCATTTCAAAGAACAGTATGATGACCTTTCTGTACAAGTTAACCTAGAACCTGTGAAATAAATAGACACAGATTCTGTGTTCATTCACAAAAGTGAAGAAATGAGACAACTTTCTGGAACATTCCTTTAAACATTCTCCTCTGACTTAATCTGGCTTGCCTCACCAAGGCAATAAGGAAATTATCTAAAAATACTGTTTAACAGGAAAAAAAGTCAATTTTCTGTGAGGAATATTGTATCATTCTCAACTTTCCCAAGAGTAAATATTGTAAGAGAAAACATATGCAACTATTTTTCAAAATGGTAGAACAAGAGCCAGAGTTGAAGAAATAAGTACGCTATAAAGATAATAAAATGGTGATAATTATAATGAAAATATACAATCAGGTGGTCCACTGAAATTAGTATCCTAAAAGACTTTATATTATCCAACCAGCTACAGATTAACTGTCTACATGTTAAATTCCACACATACTTGACTTCCTACTTGAAATAATTTCTTCTTTGAGGCCTGTGTCTCATCCAAATTAATGTGACAATGTGATGTACCTTCCAGTGGAGAATCTGACATAGGAAATTTAAGGTGATTGGCCAGTTCTTCTTGAAGTTGTCTCACAATCACCTAATAAAATATTTTTGTTACTAATTTTATAAAGTGTCTTATTATTAAATATGTTAATAATATTTAACTTAGTATACATACTTTGAAAATTATTACCACACATACAGATTCACTTTCTTTTCCTCATATGTACACATTCTTCTTTATTACGGAATTCAGTGAGGGACACAGAAGGTGTTATCTTCCAGCCAAATCGGTATTCTCTTACATGACAGATGGATTCAGCCCGCTATTCATTCACCTTAGACCCTCAACTCAACCTGAGTTCCTCACATATTCAGTTGCCTGTTGAAATCCTTCCAACAGATTCCTATCTCAGAATAAAATTAAATTTCCAACGGCCTTCAAGGCCCTAGGTAACATGGCCTCTAACTCCCTCCCTGACCTCAGCTCCTACATCTGTGTCCCGTACTCACTTCGATCCCACTCTCCGTTAACTCTGCCACCCCTCCTTAGTCTGAAAATGGGGATTCAATGTCAAACTCATAAATCACAGACAGTTACAAGTATCTTTGTACTGGAAAGAGTTATGTCCAAATGATAGTCACTGAGACTTAAAATGTAAATTATGAGCTAATTATTCATAAAAATATTGACAGTAAATTATAAATACCTACCAGTGGGAACATTACATCAAAATTTTTTTGGCTAAAATTTACCACATTTATTCCAAATTGTGATTTTATAGCAAGTAGATGTCTTTAAAATTCTAAGTGGTCAGAAAAATGCATAATGTGAGACTGACCTATTTTCAGACTTAAGTCACATTGGTACGAATCAAAACAAAGTTATAACAACTAAAATACATAAAAGAGAGAGCCACTGCAGGAAAAGCATCACAAGACACAGCAACACACTTCAGTTCATCTGGGAAATCTAGAATTAAATGTCAAAGCAGCTCACTTAATTGAATCTTAATTTCAAAATACATATTTCAGGTACAAGCATTTCCATTTACCTGCTTCATTATGGTCTTAAAATGTGGCAACAAAAAGACATTAAATTTATTATTTCTGCAGTATAAGACTATATACCTTATCAACATTGCTCTGTATCTACTAAAATTTCATAGGTGACATGATGTCTTTACTCAAAGTTAAGCATCTCTCAGCTCTATTTTTTATTTTTTGGAAACAAAGTATGTAAGTATGTTTCCAAGCTGATACAGTAAACACATTTTTTTGGTTTTTTATTAAAACAGTTTTGTTGAAATATGATTTATAGAATTTATCTATTTTAACAAGCAGTTCAAAGATTTTTAGTAACTTTACTGTGTCGTGCAACCATCTCTACAATTCAACTTTAGAACATTTTCATCACTGCAGGACAATCCCTCATGCTCATTAGCAGTCACCACCCATTTCCAGCCCCAGGCCTACACAAACATTAATCTTCTTTCTGTTCCTATACATGTATTTCCTGGATGATTAATACAAATGGAATTATACAGTATAGTAAACACATTTTCATCTATTTATTTTTATATTTAACTAGGTTAAACATATAGCCAGAATGAAATGTTTAAATTTTCTTTCCAGAAGGTTAAACATAGTTTTTTTCATACTTACTTCTTCTGCTGCTTCTTTCTCATACTGAAACAGTTTTTCTTTCAAATAATTACATTCATTCATTAATTCCTTATTTTTTTCTTCTAGAAGAAGATCTTCCTTTCCATTATCAAGACAGTCTTCTTGGATATTAATGACTATCTCTTCATTATTGCCTTCCTTATAAGCATCCTTTAGTTGTTGTTCAAGCAAGAGATTTTCAAGTTCTTGTTGACGTATTCTCTCCTCTAAAGAGTTCTGCTTTCCAATGGAATGACTCTCTTTAGCTTCCTCACTTGGATGCATCTGCTTCATTTCCTTTATTTGATGCTGTGCTTGCTTTAGATAGCTTTTTTGATAACTTTGAGAAACCTAAATAAAACAAAACAAACTTTTAACTAGTATTCAATAAAATAACATATCAGGGTTATTTCTGAAGTGAGAGAACAACCTGTACATTCATGCAATTAAAAGTTGCTATAAGTGGATATCCAACTGGAGAAAAAGTTGAAGCAAAACCTTGAACCTTAGAGAACATACATTTCAAAAAGTTCAAAAGTTTATTTGAAGTCAATGGATCCATAAAAGTAAACACACACACACACGCGCACACATACACTCTCTCTCTCTCTAGAGAATTTTTAAGAATATCAGAATTGGAAAAGCCTTTCTCTGAATTACAACAAACTCAAAGCATAAAGTTAAATGCTAAAAATTTTGACTGAATTAAAATCTTGGAAAAAGAAAATTGCATTTATACTCTGATATCTAACCCAGACACCACCCCATAGTAAGAGCTTTACCTCTACATCTATTTGGACAGATAAAATCTCTCAAAGTTTTGAAAGTTCTGTTTCCCTGATCATATTGTATTGTGATTTGACTAAACATTTTTTAGTCAGTTGTAAGAATTACATTTACTAAATCATAAATCTAGACATTGTACTAAGCACTTCTACACACATACATTGATGAACTTATTCAGTTATCACAATCCTTAAAAAAGAGAGGTTAAAAATATAAGCAAGCTGCAGGATTTTCCTCAGGGTTTCTGATTCTACTTCTAGTTCTCCATCAGATCACAGGTACTTCTGTGGTGTAACTATATCAACATAAAAACAGAGAAACAAAAAGACACAGGCATAAAATGTGTCTTCTGTCTTTGTCACCTGGATTCTCCATGAAATAGCCAGATTGAGAGGATGTGACATGTGGGGCCTCAGAAACAGAAAAGAAGCTTTCCCTTTTCTGCACTAAGCTATTCTTTTCCCCACTGCTTGTTCTCCTTATTTTTTCATTTGGATCCTGGGATACCAAAAAAGTGAAGGTGCTCACTGAAATGAGGAACCAAAGTTTGTCACAACACAAGGAGCCGAGTGAAACTGCTGAGTTGCTAGTGCAGAATCCTGGAAAATGAGATGTTCCTCAAATTTACATTCAATTACCACAAAAGTTTATAGCTGGAAGATATACAGTATAGTTGTCCACTCTAGCCCCATTATCTACTTGATAAGGGAAGTAAAACCAAGAAATAGTAAGTAACTCACCCAAAGCTCCTAAGGTGGCATTACCTAGCATTTCATGGCACCAAAAGGGAAGATACAATTACATATTGCTGAATTACATAAATTATCATATAAATACATCAAATTCATCAAATAAATTAAAAGTGTGACTTTGGCAAATCAATTTAATGGCTCAGAGGGTGGTGGGAGGCCTCATCTGCTTTTACTTTGAAAGAAGAAAATCTCTAGATTTTTGTCTATCTTTAGAACACAATATACAGAACTCAGCTTTCTACTCTAGAACCAAATGCTAAATTTTTGGCTGAGAAGTTATGCTACTTATATGATAAAATCATACATGTCAAAACCTACCATATTTTATTTTATTCTATTTTATTTTTATCTACCATATTTTATTAAACAACATCACGTAAAAGTCTCTGACTCAACAGAAACATTGGAGAGTGGTGATTTTTCTAAATATGTGGAAGTGTATGTATTTGTTTCCAAAAATATTTAAAGTGGCCATGATGGAATTATAAGTTTAAACAGTCTGAGTCAAACAGATAAACCTGCATGCATAAAAGCACATTAAACAGACTTCTTTGGCTGGTAATATTTGCTGCAACTCTCAAGGTCAGCTACATTTTCATGTCTCTTCTCAGTCACTGCTTCCCTCCTATTGTATTACCATTTTATCATTTAAATAAATGTAATTCATCTTTAAATGAACATAGAAAAAAGAATCTAGACATTATTTCTTTAGCAATTTTCCTTATGCTTATCTGGTTCAGATCACATGGTATATCGCTAAATAATTTTCCCAGCCCATATGCCACTTGGAAGACTCATAGTGAGACTTAGGTTGATGAATGAGCAAAGATTATGAGAATGTTTTCCAGAACTGTTATTTAGATAGCAGCACTAATCTACTTTGACACGTAACTACACATTTAGATAACCCCACTGTAACTATACACATGAGATTTTCTTGAGTAGAGAACCAGAAAGAATCAGATAACTTATAATAAGAGAAGCAGCAAGGGAACCTCTTTCTTTTTATAGTTGAACTTTTTTCTTCAAAGCCAGGACCTCTACTTGTAACAAGCCCACCTCATTCTTAAGCCTTTGCATATCTTGCTGTAAGTCTTCTTCTAGATATGCTTTTGATGTTCTGTCACTATGTGGTGGAGAATAACTCACATTTTCTAATTCGGGTTTCATGCTTTTATAGATATTAGCAGTGGGACTGTCACATGTGGGTCCCTGAAACACACTTGCCAGTCATCTTCAAAGCTTTAGAAGAGCTTCTAAGTTCCATATGGCTTGTGGAACAAGCGCTGTATTGGTTTTCGGTTTTTGTAAGTGTCTGTAACAGCAGAAATACTGTGGCTTTCTATCTGCATCACATGCTTCAATTCTTTGGAGTGAGCAAACCACAAATCAAAAAGACTTTTTGGATTTCTAGACTGAGGCCAATGCCTAATGTCTAATTTCCAATCTGTGGTATTTTGGGTTATATTTTCTTGTCATTTGCATATCAAACTCTTGGTCTTCTTTCATTTCAATCATAACTACTGGGTTCCTTAATTTTTCAACTTCTGTATCATTACAACAATTCTCTTTCTTCTTCATCTCTGTGAGAAACAGGCTACATGTCTGGTTTGTTACAATTTTTACAGTCTGATTTATTTTCATTTGAATAAAGCTTAGAAGATGACTGGCAAGTGTGTTTGAGGGACCCAGAGTATAAATGCAACGAAAAGACCTGAGTGAGATGGGCTTGTTCCGTTCAGGCAATGCCTGGAATACTACAGAGTTAGACACTCCAGGTGCATCTGCTTCCTCACCATCAGGGATATGATTCATGAGATTACGGGGCACTCCCTTTAAGTTTGTCCCTCTTTAGGTTTACAGTATAAGAGCTCTTCCTCAGGACAAACAGTAATTTTGGATTTTTCAAAACTTGAACTTTTTTGTAATGATTTTTTTTTTTTTTTTTTTTTGAGATGGACTTTCACTCTTGTTGCCCAGGCTGGAGTGCAATGGCATGATCTTAGCTCACCACAGCCTCTGCCGCCCAGGTTCAAGAGATTCTCCTGCCTCAGTCTATCGAGTAGCTGGGATTACAGGCATGCGTCACCACACCTGGCTAATTTTGTATTTTTAGTAGAGACGGGGTTTCTCCATGTTGGTCAGGCTAGTCTCGAACTCCCGACCTCAGGTGATCTGCCCGCTTCAGCCTCCCAAAGTGCTGGGATTACAGGTGTGAGCCACCACATCTAGCATTGTAATGAATTTTAAAAGAAGTCCTGAATATACAGATATATCCTCTTTATTACAATTCTTACTTGGTTCTGGTGCTTGAGACATTTTTTTGCAAGTGCAAAAGTGGAAAATTAATTTGCTTCTTTTGTTTCTCAGATGTCTTTTCTGACAGGGTGCATGTTTTAAAATTAACTTTATTCTAAATTAAGTATGAACAAAGAAAAAATAGAAAATAATTAAAATTGAACTGTGAAACATAATCTATGTTTTACTACCTCTAAATTACTGGATTATAACTAAGAAATAAAAATAATTTGCCTTGGCTTAATATAGGAGAAAAAAGTGACCAAGGAAGCCTAACTCTTTCTGTTTGTTTGGAGTAAACTTAATTCATTATGAATTAAATCTGCCAGAAATGGGTTCACAGATGATATATAGTATTCTAAAGGCTTTGTCTTGGAATGATTTTTACCTCAGCATACCCTAAATAGTGAACCCCTACAGTGAATTCATATTTCTGAGGATTAACTAAAGAGTAGGCAATTGCTAAAATATTAGACGTCAAAATGAACACCAATCAGAAAGAGAAGAAAATTTTTAGATTCTACTCCAATGCTATACCGTAATATGATTAATAGTGTTATCTAGAAGGTTATCTGCTTATATCTAGGTCAAATACATTCTAAGCTCCACTGGTGACAATGGGTTAAAAAATTTTTAAAGCGTTTCCTATATATGTTAAAACAAGAAAGTTATTGTTTGTACCCTGACACCAAAGTCCCATTCTGGAAGGCATCATTCTCTCAATAGGCAGTTGGGTTAATTTTATGACCCCATCCTCTCCCTGAACATAGACACCAAAGGCAACCAGAAACCAAAAAACAGACGAAGTCTTTAACCTCAGCACTGGTGACCAGCAACATAAAACTGCAAAGTTTGAACCACTTGGAATGATGACTCCTTTAACATGAGGTGAACTCAGGGGCTGTCACTGTCCAATTATTCGTAATTTCTCTTGCTTAGTAAGTAATACAGCTCCATTTCTGATGTTACCTTCTTTATCATGAAGAAGGTTATAAAAATGAAAGAGTAAAGAGAGTTCTGGAAATTTCTGGCCTCAATTCCACAGGTACAGATAGCTATGAGTTACTACAGATGGTAAGAATATTTCAAATTTTATAACTGGCTAAAATGTTTTAAAATTCAATATCAAAATTATGCTCTGTTGGATTCTAAAAGGATAGTCTAAAAGGTCACTTCATTTGGACTATGCCATGGTATTAAAGAAAAACAAGCAGACAAACCAATATTAAACCAGAAATTTAAATTGTTATATACCTGTGGCTGTTTATTTTCACTTCTTTCAAGTCTTTCTTGCTTTTCCTCTGAAATGACTTTTAAGTTGTGTTCTGCTGACAAATCCATATGTTTAGTGAAAATGAATGACTTAGAACAGTTAACTTAAAAAATTGATACAAAATAACATATACTTTGCTTTCTATATTGAGAGTTTAAATGAAGCTTTATGTTTACTGGAATATTTACATTTTTAAGAAACACTTCTAATTATCTGAAACTTTAACAACCCACTTGGGGAGACACTAGATATCAGCAGGTTCAAGCCACGCAAAAGTCTCAGTGTCAGCCACAAATTATTCCACCTTAACATAAGTAAACAAAAGTGCCGGAAACAAAACAAAATTTAAAAATACAGTGAAAACATATTAAGTAACACTTTACTATTCTCTACTTCATAATAGTATCTGTTTAACAGCATGCTAAGCGAGTTGTTATTTACTAATAATTTGCAAAATTTTTGTTACCGTTATACCTTTATAGTGTACACCCTGTTCTTTACATCTGAAATATTTCCTTCTACTATTCTGACAAATTTATTGTTGTGTTTTCAGACTCAGAATGTAGGCTGGGCACAGTAGCTCACACCTGTTATCCCAGCACTTTGGAAGGCCCAGGTGGGATAACTGCTTAAAGCAAGGAGTTTAAGACCAGCCTGGAGACCATAGTGAAATCCTGACTCTATAGAAAATTTGCCAGACATGGTGGTGTGTGCCTGTAGTACCAGCTATTCAAGAATTTGAGGCAAGAGGATCCCTTAAGCCCAGGAGCTTCAGTTTGCAGTGAGTCTCGATCATGCCATTGCAGTCCACCCTGGGTGACAGATTAAGAACTTGTTTCCAAAAACAGAAAAAGAAAAAAGGCTCGGCCGGGCGCGGTGGCTCAAGCCTGTAATCCCAGCACTTTGGGAGGCCGAGATGGGCGGATCACGAGGTCAGGAGATCGAGACTGCAGTGAGTCTCGATCATGCCATTGCAGTCCACC